CTTCCAAGATTGCCTTGCACTCCAACACCCACCCCCCCCCCCACCTCCACCACCACCTCCACCACAGCAAGCCTTTTGGCCTCTGCCTCATAGGGGTTTGCCTGACCGCCCCTCTGATCCAAGTACTTGCAATGATGATAATCCAAACTGCATACTGCTGCCAGCGCCAGAAGATTGGAGACCTCTCATTTTTGATGAGGGGGCTGGTATAGCTACCAGTTCCCTACTCCTACTCCTCCTCCTCCTCCTTGTCTGTTGGAGTTCTGGGAGGATCCAGCAGTCATGAACCCGGAATGTCTCCCCCCTCATCTTGGTTTTGGCAAGGTGAAAGAACCTGTCAAGAAGCCTGCCCCCCCCCCCCTGAGAAACCTCTCAACAAATCCAAAGACCTTGTCATTTTCAATGAGAAACTGGTGTTGGTCAGTCAGTATCCTCATTGCACCACCTGATAGCTCACAACAGATGGTAGCTTCATTCTGATGACTGGCATCTGCCTGTTGGCATCATTGACCTCACCATCAATCATGGTCATGATAACAGGGATGAACAGGTATTCAAGGGAGCAACATGCCAGGTTTCTCTGGTAGCTAAGGACATCCAACAATTTGGAGATACCATTGGCTGGTTGAACAACTGGAACATCAGCAACACAGTTGTACTGTTTAAACAAGGTTGGCCTGCTTCCGACCCTGTAGTTCCCACCAAGCCCCCCCCCCAGCAGGAAGAATGGAGAGGCTTTTAGTTGCAAAGTCTTCTCCTCTTACACATGGCCTGACTTTGACACATACTTGAGGAGGAAGTGGATGGAAAAGCATGTTGCTAAGAAACTCCACTAAAATGTGTTTGATATGGAAGCATGCTGGGAACATTCAGAGTGGCTATTCCCCCTCCACATGGCAAATCACTGGGTTCTGGGGCATGTGGACTTTGTCGAACACTGCATCATTATATATGACTCACTGTGTTACCATTGGAGGTTGGCTGTTATGGTGTGTCCTCATGTTTATCTCACATAGCCAGTACTGATTAGACATACAGATGATAAATCATATGGTGATGGCAATTGCCAAGGAATCTTCCCAGGACTGGCCTGGGTGCTTATGGGTAGGCTGGGAAGCACACATGGCCTCAGTACATGTGTTCACCCCCCTGGGGCAGAGAATATTGTTAAATATGATCTAGGTCCCAGAACAACAGAATGGCCATGATTGTGGGTTGTGGGTGCTAGCCCAGATAATGGCAGTCATGTGGGGTGTTGACCAGACATCCATGACTGATGCAGAGATGCCACAGTTCTGTTGCTGGTTACATGACAACATGGAGAGTTTGCCATATGGACCAGTAGCACCATGTGCACCAGCAAAAGAGGAGAGCACGCTCTTGGACTTGAACAAGACTGTGTTAGAGTTGGTGGACTTGGACAAGGCCATGGATCTCAATTAGGTAGTCATATATACATTACTTACAATTACACTTCTTGCTCTAGAGAAGTGGAACACTTTTTTCTGGTACATATTATATTTTGTGGTATTAGGAATCCATACACTCAGTACCCTCTGCTCTCTCAGCATGACTTTCAGTGCTTGAAGCATCTGTACTGAATAATAGGAGTTCAGGCCCTCTTGCTGACCCATGACCTAAGGGACAGAAGTGTGACATTCCAGCATTTGAGGGCCTGGTTGACCCTACCTCTTGCGAGCCCAGTGGTTACCTGCATGCTGCCTCATAAAGAGGGCTTTATGTTCTTTCCATAGCTATAGCAAAGTTGATGTACTGGATCACCTCTTTAGTTGGGAGGACAAACCAATTCTGGCAGAGTCCGCCAGGTATATAACAGACTCAACTTTGGACTGGGGCATCTCACAGTCTCTACACCACTCCATCACTTTCCCCTGAAACATGGCACTTGTTCCACCCATTCCGCTTCCACCCATCCCAACTTTCTCATTCATCACTGCAGACGGTACATTGTTGCAAAAGGCCTGGAAAGCTTGCAGTTGTCTCAGCTTCTTTGCAACGTCAATGCGCTTCTCAAGCAACATCCTCATGTCCATTGGGCATATGTCCAAATTGCACATCACTCTGATCAGGAGCAACCTCTGTTCAAAACAGGAATCACTCAACTTTGCCCAACCAGGGCATATGAGATTCTGGATCAGAACTGGGCAGCCAATTGCCCACAGATCTATATTTCCCACTGGGCCTTGTCAGACTCGAACACCTTCTCCATCCGGTATGTTACCCAGCCAAACCAACACCCCCACATTGTTCTCAATAGAACTCTTATCTGGGCTCTCAACCAGACAGAGGGTACATGGCTTAAGTTGCCCTCTATCAAATGACTCAAGTTTTCGAGATAGATGACTCAAGGAACTTGGTGTCCTTGCAATTCATGGTGTTCACTGTTATCATGCATGAATTGGCACACCATGCACATGGATGGTTTTGTGGTGTCCTAAATGACGATTGAACTGCTGAGCACATCCCAGGCAAAGAATTCTGCTATTACGACTGGTATGTTGCAGCAGAGGGACCAGGAGAGTGCAGATATTGGCTGGAACACATCCTTTTTGGCAGCATGATTGCCTATGGAACAAAGTTTGGAGCCTCTGTGGTGAGTCAGTTTGTAACCAAACAACTCAGTAACCAGTACAGGCAAGTCACTTGTATTGGCATACATCATGATGATGGTGAAACTGATTTGCAGCATATGGCTTTTATACATAAGTGCTGGTATAAGTTATCTATGCCTCAAGAGATGTCCTGACTTTGTTCTTCTCAGCACTTCTGCTTGCAGCCACTTTCATGGATGGAATAAATTGCAGACCATTCATAGATATGCAAAACAATGACATCCATCTTCTTTCCTTGATGGAGGCTTGCAACTGGCAAAGCAATGATACCCATGGGCTACAAGAGGCCCTTCAAGCTGAGGGTGAGGATCCTCATGCAGAAGACCTGACATTTGCAAGACATAGGCACAATTTTGGAGACATCCTGTTGTACAAGTATTGTTGTGAAGATGGGGACAAGAAAGGGAAGGCAGGGAAAAAATTGAGGAAGCATCAAGTCGCCTTCCACACTGCTATGAAGGCATTGTAGATAGCATTACATAGTTTGGATATTTGTGATACTAATGTCCCTGAGATGGTTCATGTCTTGATCATGTTTTACATTTGATATCAAGCCATTCAGAGAGCAAAAGGACTAGAAGATATGCCTCAGATGTACCTTGGGGGATGACGTACTCTCCAGATTGGAGCTCTGTGCATTCTTGCACAAGCTTTGGATGAGATGAAGTGCCTGTACTCCTCTAAAGTGTGACATTTGCAATCTTGTGGCATGTGGAGAACCCACCGGCTCAAATTCATTGACAGAGGAGCAGTTGTTGGGCAATCTGGTGCCTTGTTTGACCACTGTTTGCATGATTTGTCTCTGGTGTGTGGGCCCAAATGTTGCCCAGTCACATTCAAGCTGCCAACCATGGATCAGCTCCATCAGGTGTCCATATGCTCACTCACCTAATCCCAGATCAAACTATGTGAGTCAAGCATCAGTACATGTGGCCAACACTAGAAGGGACAAGGATGGCATTAGCATGATGAGGCTTACTTTGTAGAAGCTTCCAGATATCAGCAGCAATCCCCCTTGCAGGTTGCTCAAAGCACTGTATGCCCACAACTCCTTGTTTTTCGATTTGAGCGGTGGACCAGATTGTGGTGTTGTACACCTGCAACTCCAAAGGGAACAATAATTCAACATAAAGCTTGACAGCAATGGTCTGAGATCCTCCATTGGAATAACCAGTTACTGCTTCCAAACTTGAGCCCAGCACTGATTGCTGACCTGTAAAGGACATTGCAGCTCCACATCAAAGCCCACTGTGTATGCATCATTACTTGGCATGCTCCTGATACTATGCCCCCAGCATAACAAGTTGATTCAAGCTTCATGACATCATTGAATGGCAAGGTTGCCATCCTTGTCGTCATTGTCAGAGTATTTGTCCTGGTGACTGCCCATGTTGTAAAAGTTGCTGGTGTGCCATGGGACAGAGTTGTTGGAGAAGTAGAGTGTCAGGGTACCAGCTCATTGCTTGGTCAAGAGACATGACTAAGCCTTTATGACATGGAAGTACCTGGTATACCTTGGCATGTGCTGGAACCTGCTGGAAGGATTGGATGGTCAGGTGACCTGCTGTGCATGGCTGTGCA